TACTTCAATAACTGGCTTAGACATATGACTTAATTCTGAATTTAAGACAACAGTTCTCATATTACATTTTAGTAATTCTTTAGTGGTTCCTAAAATACAGATAAACATTATATAATTACGTAAAATAAAYGAAAAAGCATAAAGAAATCAAAATGCTTTTCTAGTGCATACCAGCAATCATTAAAACCAATTGAAGTTTAGGCAAGAATGCAAAGTCATTAACTAATTTTGGTCCAACTATAGGGACAAGGTCATGCTTAACTTGTTCATTCTCAGATTTTATATGGACTGAAAATAATCCTTCAACAGCACCTAATAGGAACACCTAAGAATCAAATARTGATAATAWAATAAATATAAATACTTAAATCATAATTTATAAAAGTTAAACACTTTAAACTTACAGTTTGTGATATTTGATGAATGCAGTTAACATTAAGTAATTTATCTTTATGGAAGGTGTATATATTATCTTTGTAATCATGATTTTGTTGTGATTGAGCGTCATATTCACAATTTTCCAAGAACTCTTTAATTATTCTTAACCAATTCTTTTTTTCTGAGATGCTAGACAAGATAATGTACAAAAATAAGGTCATCCAACCAGTATTTAAGTTGTACACTTCAATTTTTAACATCTGATCATAATCTTCATTAGAGTTTTTGTCAAATGTTGAATCGTTTGATTCTGCCACATCAACAACTTTAACAATATTTGATGACATCATCAATGGTAAAGTATAGAATGGTTGAGAATCATATTTATCATTAAGAATTAATAGCACCCCTTGTTCAAATTTTGCATACTTTCGATCCCAAATCTGTTTAGTATTGCTAAAAATAAAAAATAAGAAAAAATGGTTACTCAGAGAAGCTATATTTACTAAATATATTGCCAAGAAAAATTTTAATCTACTTCTATGATCAATCGTGGCCAGATTTTTTTTAGTAAGCTTAATATAAAAATATACTTTGCTTTAACAATCTATAATAACAGTGATTACTACATTCAAATTATTTAATTACCCATTGTAAAATTCTTTTTTAATAAGTAGGTATATATTATAATATGAAAAAAAATGGCTTCTGTTCATCTGTAACACCCTATTGTTGTTCAGGCAATAATCCTAGGGTGTTATAGTAATCAGMATTTTTGACTTATTTGCACAGGTAAAACAATGACCATTATTATGAAACTCATAGAAAGCAAGATGAATGACTTAAAATATTGAAACAATTTATGTACATATAATCTATTGTTTATTGTATAGTCTTATGTTTGTTAACGATACCACTTTAATGGCTTAATTAAAAATTGATGGTTAATGGTCATTTTATCAATTAACTTAATGAAAAAATATATTTAAATTTAGTAAATTGTTAATTTTATGTAGTTGTGCCAACTGATTGTTATGGTGCAAAGTGAAAATTAATAATTAATGTATTTTGTTTTCTAGTTTAGTAATATTTTTTATTTATTTAATACTATTTAAAAATATTAACTTATGCTGTAACTAATTTAACTAATATGATGAGCATTATTAAGATCTGACTGAGTAATATTACTAAGACTTAAGTGATTTTATGGCCAGTCTTTAAAGAATTTTGGATACATAAGTCGTGATCTTAATGCGACCTCCAATAAATTATTTTATCTAAAGAATTGGTAGATATTGCTTGTTTRCAACAACAACGACATAACACGAAAAACATGATATACCAAATAAACGATATGGACATGGGTAAAAGTTACTGTGATAAATAAACAGAAATGTCATATTATATGCGACCCATTTCTTTGGGGATCATTCAGGTTTATGAGCAATATACTCTTTACACTGTTTTTACTTTTCAGTATATGTATTTGTGTTGTTAATTGCTAYACCTACCTTTTTATGAGTCATAGGTGGTTTATAGATAAGAAAMAATTAAGATTCTTCAAAAAACAATTAATATTAATATYAATTTATTATTTACTAGTTTAAAAAAATTAAATGCGTTTTAATTCTGAAATAAATAAYGTGGAAAATATAAAAGCAAGCAATTAAACACTTACTCCCAAATAGTAACCCATGATTCAACCTCAGATTTTTTCTCATTATTGCTCAGAACCGGTGTAGTTGTTTGTTGTTCTTTTTTTATAGGAGTGCAATCAGGTAGTAACTCATGAGAACATGTTACATGTGTCGACACTCTACACTCTTGACATTGACTAATTTGTTGCCTACTTACTATTTCAGTTTTACAGTGTGAACATTGTAATCCATCACGTTTACATATTTTTACTTCAAACCTAAATTTATTTTATAAAATAATAAATTTCATTAATACATAGTRGATTTAAGCATTTATAAAAGAGTGAACTTGCTTATGAAATGACTGATGTTGTGATAGTGTATTAGAAGTCAATGTTTTATATGCAGGCGAATTAGCTTCAAAATTAAGACAGATAGGAACTAAAKGTGTTGATGGACCTTGTGTTCTCATCATGTTCAATTCAGCCTGAGTTTGATATAGTTTATTTGCTAGATCTTTTGATTTACTTCTTTCAGAATTTAATAGAGATTCAATTTCCTACATAAAATAATGATACATTAGGAAAATAAAAATTAAGGAAAAAGAWTTTTTTTTTTACTTTTTGATCAATATTTTCTTTGTTTTTACCACTGAACAACATATCACCCAAAGTCCTTTTCTTTTTGGTCACATCATCAAACTTTTTTTGAAGGAAATCAATAAGTTTTGTTTGTTGGAGAATGGTAGAATCTGCTTTAATTAAACGTTCCTCATAATATACTTTTTGTTCCATCAAACTATTCTTATATTTTGAAATAACATTCTGCATAACCTAATATATGAGAATATAAATTACAAATTAATTAAATAAGTGAGATAATAAATGAATAATTATAAATGTACATGATATTTAAACTAACATTTGAATCTTCAACCATAGCTTCTAACTGAGCAGTTAATCGAACATTGGCTTCTTTCAAAAGTTGTTTTTGACTAATAGTTTCAGATATTTCTGCTTTCATTTTATT